TAGGCGAAAGAAATGAGGTTGCAGAGAGCAGAAAACTCTCGAGCAAAATGAACACATACCCCGCAGTATCAAATCCAGTCCCTTGGCTAGGAATGGGCTGTTGGATCAATCCATCAACCTCTGATGGATTATTTAGAAGGATTGGGTCTGGCATCTCTTTTGCTGTGCGTCTGTGCCAGTATCCATACATAGCAGAGTTATATCTCAACACGGCTCCTGCCTTGGAAGTATCTTCGGGTTGAAGATGCATGTCCAAAGAACAGTTCCCACAGAAAATGTCCTTGCATAGACAAAAGAACCTCAGCCTTCAGCTGCTTCTTGAAACTTCTCCTCTGTTCTTCTCTTGTTTCTGGAACAAATGATTCTCTCACACACAGAGAGAGAGAATAATATCCAACATGGGCAACTTGTGGCCTTCAAACCAATTTCATGCAGGGGAAACCAGGGGTAGAAGGGGGTGGCAGAAAGAGAGAGAAATTTGTTGTTGTTTAGTCGTGTCCGACTCTTCGTGACCCCATGGACCAGAGCACGCCAGGCACTCCTGTCTTCCACTGCCTCCCGCAGTTTGGTCAAACTCATGCTGGTAGCTTCGAGAACACTGTCCAACCATCTTGTCCTCTGTTGTCCCTTCTCCTTGTGCCCTCCATCTTTCCCAACATCAAGGTCTTTCCCAGGGAGTCTTCTCTTCTCATGAGCTGGCCAAAGTACTGGAGCCTCAGCTTCACTATCTGTCCTTCCAGTGAGCACTCAGGGCTGATTTCCTTAAGAATGGATAGGTTTCATCTTCTTGAGGGAAATAAAGAAATGGGGCTGCCCAGGAGAAAGAGATAAGCAGGCTGGTGCCCACTTTGGGCTTCAACCCCCACCACTTTGGGTTTGGGCTCCACCCACCACTGGTATGTGGCCCTCAACAGATTACCCTTGGGGAAATGTGGCCCTCGAAAGAAAAAGGTTTCCCACCCCTCCTCCAGGCCTTTGTGTGCATCTTCATTGGTGCAAGAGACACTTCTCTGTGGACTGCGGACTGGATGCTACATGGGCTGGGTGTATGGTGGAAGTTGCCTTATATCAGGCTGTTTGCCAGTCTAGGCCAGTATTGCCTGCTCAGACTGGCAGCAGATCTCCGGGATCTTAGAGAGAGATCTATGGCACCATCTGCTGCCTAAGCTTTTTTAGCTGGAGATACCAAGGATTGGACCTGGGACCTTCTGTGGGCAGCACATGTGCTTCAGCACTAAGCTAGGGTCCCTCTCCCCATGTTCAGCCACATGTTCAGTGCCATTGGGAAATACTTGTATGATGAGTCCCATCCACGTGGCTGTATCATTCTCATTCAGTCATATAGAATTGCACTGTCTCTCCTAATGGAGAACAGGAAGATTGTGCAGAAGTGATAGGAATTATTTGCAGCTGTCTTGACTGCAGAAGATATAGGGCAGGTCCTGGTGCCTAATTTTTTATGAAGGGAGGGTGGAGGATAGTTCTAGGCCCTGTTAACAAATAGTACCATTATTAATATTACCACTCTGTTCTGACTTGCTCAGAATACTGTGGAATACCTGGAATACTGTGGCCAGTTCTGAGCACCACAGTTTAAGAAGGATATTGACAAGCTGGAACGTGTGCAGAGGAAGGCAACTAGGGTGATCAAGGGTCTAGAAGCCAAGCCTTATGAGGAACGGTTGAAGGAGCTGGGTATGTTTAGCCTGGGAAAGAGGTGACTGAGAGGAGATATGGTAGCCAACTTCAAATATCTCAAGGGCTCTCACATGGAAGATGGAGCAAGCTTGTTTTCTCCTGCTCCGGAGGGTAGGGCTCGAATCGAACCAATGGAGTCAAGTTACAAGAAAGGAGATTCCAACTGAAACACCAGGAAGAACTTTCTGACAGTAAGAGCTGTTTGGCAATGGGACAGATTTCCTCAGGAAATGGGAGACTCTACTTCATGGAGGTTTTTGAGCAGAAGTTGGATGGTCATCTGTCATGGATGCTTGAAGTTGAGATACCTGCATTGCAGGGGGCTAAACTAGATGACCCTTTGAGTCCCTTCCAACTGTTGCAATTCTATGATTATATGGAATTAAAAACAAACTGGGTCCATATAGTGAGTGGTGGAACCTGAGGAAGGAGGCCTGGCCAAGGGAGAATTGCAGGGCCACCTAAAGAGACCTGAGGGGACTCATTCATCGCCACCCCACCAAGCCTGAGATGTCCCACCCTTGTCCTATAGCCTAGTTTGCTTTATCTGCAGAGATTCCCAGCTCTCCCTCCCAGAGTTACCTAGGTATGTGCTGGATGAGCCCTACATTATGCATTGTGTCTCTTTTTCCTCCTGTCATGGGTGATCTCTTTTTTTAAATCATTAATTCAGCTTTTCCTTCTGTACTTGAATTGCCCTGGGCTGGCTCAGCCTGCATGAGAATGCCCTTTTCAGCTGATGCCAGAACAGGCTTCGCTGAGGAGGACAAAGAATTGGGAGAGCTCTTAAAGGGAAAGGGAGATTGAGGAGACAAGAGGGAGGGAAAGGGCACATCATCACTGTGGAGTTTGAAGCCAAGGATTATTGTGGAATTTACTGAATGTGCAGGTTTGTGTGCCGTGTAGATGCGGCTGGCTGGTTGATGAAACAGCAGCATGGAAGAGGAGTTGTCTTATTATGAAGCTGTGGAGCTGAGAACAGAGATGTGGAAGCCTGTTGTGAATGTGGGAGTGGCAAGCATCCGATCCAGGTGTGCCAAAATAACATGTGGTACAGCCCTTCTGTCATGGACTGGTTGGATGCAGAGGAATTGTGGGAGGAACCACCTGGGGAACCCACAAGGGACGAAGGCTCAGAGCCCAAGGAGTGGTAGTGAGACGACAATGAGTGGTCAGAGGGAGAAGACTGGGAGGAGGAAGGGTCAGAAGCTGAAGAGGAAACAGGCCGTAGTGAGCTGGGAGAGGCTGTGACAGAGAGTAGTCCAGAATCAGACGCAGAAGCTGAAGCAGGAGAGGAGGGAGCTCAAGAGGCAGAGATGAGTCCGGCTAGTGAAGAGGCAAGGGTGTCTCCCCCTCCTGCTGCAACAAGCTCCCCTTCCCCCCTTGTCTGGGGTGTGAGAAGAGGGGTATTACATTGGGTGGAGAAAACGCCGTGCTCCTTCTGGGGTAGTTTGTCCAGCTTTGGTTCTCACCCTAAGGCGGTTGGATGGTTCCTTGTACACTTCCTTCCAGCAACTCCTGCAGCCAAGCTGGTGCCAAACGTATTGCTCTGCTTTCCTTTGGACCACATCCGTGAGGCTGGGAGAGGGGGTCTTGTTGTCCGGGCAGCCCAGGACCTCCATACACACTGCCCAGGGTTGCACCCCAGGGGAGGTGACTTTGGTGCTGCCAATGCAGCGATTTGACTTCACCCCTGAAGGCACACTCCACTGTCTCTTGAGACAGACAAATGCCAACAACAATGCCCCCTCCCCCTGCCCCGCAGATTGTAGAATCAGTGGACCCCACAACCTCAACCTCCCCCCCTGTTGTTGTTGTAGTTGTTGGTACCCCGCCCATCTGGCTGGATTTCTTCCAACAAAGATTAAAAATGCATTAAAATGTCACACATTAAAAACCCTGAGCAGGGCTGCCTTCAGATGTCTTCTAAATGTCAGGTAGTTCTTTATCTCTTTGACATCTGATGGGAGGGCGTTCCACAGGGCGGGTGCCACTACCGAGAAGGCCCTCTGCCTGGTTCCCTGTAGCTTTGCTTCTCGCAATGAGGGAACTGCCAGAAGGCCCTCAGCACTGGACCTCAGCGTCCGGGCAGAACGATGGGGGTGGAGGTGGAAAAAGACAAAAAACAAAGTCAAGTGCTTTGGAGAAAAGGGGCAGGTGGATAAAGCCATCTCTCAAAACAGTGTTTCCAGCTAGCAATCACACACATACAAAGCCTGTCCTGTAGCGCAAAGAACGGGCTGGAGGAAGAAAACATTTTATTTGGGTAAACAGTGAATTGAAAGGGGCAGGCGCTGCATACAGAAAGTACATGCAAACAGCATAACAATGCTCCCATCATTCCGGCCTGCCAGCCGGGAGTATGTTTAGTCTCATCTGTCCCAGAACTAAGAAGCCTCGTGGAATCCTGCTGGCCTCACTGAATAAGCATGAGGACAGCCTGAGCATGCATTGAAACACACAGAGACAGACAGACACAGCCCTTTGGCATGGGAGGGAGCAGGAAGCACTCTTATTTGTGCTTGACAAAGGCCCCGCTGCAGTCCTTGGCAAAGCTGCCCCTGTGGCAACATCCTCTGCGCCTGAGAGCCGGTGGCCCTCAGAGCTGCAGGCTGGCTCTGGGAGACAAGCAGCGCATTGTGCCGCGTCTGTTTTAAATGCGTGGACGAGGCACACCTTTCTGTTCCTTCGCTCGCTGCTCCGCTTCCATTTAGGTCTCGGAGAAAGCAGGACTGTCTGCAGAGCATTCCACGCAGCCCACTGTTAGGCTCCGAGGACGTTCAGCAGGACTGGAAGAAATAAAAAGGCCTCACTTTCCCCGTTTCTCTTCTCCTGTTTGTCTGAGGCTCCCTGGGAAGGGATCAGAGGCTGGGCTTTTTCTGAAAGGCTGCCTAGGGGCCTGCCTTTTATGCCAATAAATGTTTTATCATCGTTAAGCTTCAAAGGCATTAGCAGTGGGTTCTGTTAACATTTGGCGAAATGAAAGAGAGCAGGAGTCGGGGGGAGGGGGAGCAGTGGGCTGCCTTTGTGCCCTAGATGGGAGGCTTCCTTTGATTGTCAGGGGGGGCTCCTCCCCCCGTGGGGGCAGATCTGAGTGTTTTTTCCGCTTTATTCCTTCTGCCTACGAAATCATGTCAGAAAGAGCAGGGTGGCTTTCTTTCGCTCCTTTCCTCTTCGTTAAGAACATGGGAAGGAAACTGCTTTCTACTGAGTCAGCCCACTGGTCCATTAGCTCAGTAATGTCTGCACTGGCTGGCAGCAGCTCTCCAAGTCTTCAGGCAGAGGTCTATCCCAGCCCTAACTGGAGATGCCAGGGATTGAACCATGGACCTTCTGCATGCAAAGCAGCTGCTCTACAGATGAGCTACTGCATTTCTCTTTTATGCCTTGTTTTGCATTCCTTGATAGCTAAAAGGGGCCCTAAATGGCCGACTGGTGTTCTTCACACAGCCCACTCTGAGATTTGGGCCCAATGGCCAGTATAATACAGCTCCTTACATTTCTAAAAATCTAGGGGCATGGACATCACTCTTCCTCATTTTACATGGCATACATGAAGACCCATTGTGTTGCCCAGGCATAGGCAAACTCGGCCCTCCAGATGTTTTGGGACTACAATTCCCACCATCGCTAGCTAACAGGGCCAGTGGTCAGGGATGATGGGAGTTGTAGTCCCAAAACATCTGGAGGGCCGAGTTTGCCTATACCTGGTGTAGCCTCTCTTTTCTGACAGTATTCATGTTTCAGTTCTCCTTGGAGATTCAATGTTCTCCATCTTCTTATAACTCAGATGGGTCTGCTTTTATTCTGTTTCTTCATCTTTTAGAATTCCTCATCCTTCCATGTCAATTCTCTGATTTTGTGTGTGTGTGTGTGTGCGCGCGCGCGCGCGCGCTCACACCTAAAAATATAAACATGAAAGTAATCAGAAAGTAATACAGAAAACCTTGCCCAACGCAGACAGGGCATCATTTCATATTTCAGCTGCTAGAGGCCTGGTTCTCCAGTAGGTTTAATTGGATAAATTGATTCAAGTTACAAGAAAAGAGACCCCCAGCTAAACATCAAGAATAACTTTCTGATCATAAGAGCTGTTCAACAGTAGAGCACACTGCCTTGGAAGGTGGTGGGTGCTCCTTCCTTGGAGATTTTTTAAGTAGAGGTTGGGTGGGCATCAGTCATGGATGCTTCAGCTGCCATTCATTCATTGTAGAGGGTTGGGCTAGATGACCCTTGGGTCCCTTTCCACTCTACAGTTCTATGGTTTTATCTCCCATGTAGGTATGCATGAGGCTTTATCAGAGTCCAAACACACATTTCAGCCAGGCAAGAACATTCAAGTGAAGAAGGGTCATGATGGAAGTAGCCTGGGGAGTGTTTTGACTGAAGGCCCAATAGAGAGGTTGTAGGGAGTAATGGAATAAAGGACATGAGCAGCGTTTGTGAAATTATGCGTGGTGGAACTGGATAGCGGAAGCCCTTTACTTCCCCTCTCAAAACACCGGATCATCCTGCAAAACCAAGCAGCAGGCTGGTGATTCAGGACAGACAAAAAGGAAAGCGCTTCTTTGCACAACGCAGAATTCACTTAGGGAACCAAAATGTGCCAATGGGACCTGCTGGCTTAAATTGCTTTAAAAGATGGTTAGACACATTCATGTATATTGAGTCTATCAACAGTTATCCTCCTTGCTGGCTTAATGGATGCTTCCAGTTTAGAGGCATTATGTCACCAGATTCTGGTGGCTGGTGGGCAGTAATGGTGAAGGACAATTTCCTTTCTGCCTGCCAGAAGCATCTGTTTGGCTGCTGTGGGAAAGAGGTTGTTGGACCAAGTTGACCCTTAGTCAGATCCAGCAGCCCTCTTCCTTATAGTCTTACGAACACAGCGACATTCTTTTCCAACTTGGGACGTGACTGGATGCAAACAGGAGTTAAGAGCCCCTGAGGAATTCACAGGACTCATAATTGACATCCTGAGGCTTTACCTCCCAGAAGATTATATATTGGTCTAAGGAAAATAAATAAAACTCATGTAGAGAAACGAAACAGAAAAGCCATTCCACCTTGCCCAGAATAACGAGGAGGTGATGCTGTTAATTATTTGCTTTAGAACAAAATAAAAATAAAAACAGGATACTAATTGCTAATCTTCCCTAGATCTCTGCTGATTTCATAAAAATTATTCATGCACCTCAACAAGAGGAGTTTCTATGGAAACCGAGAAACTGAACTTTCATTAGGAAACCTACAAAAAAATAAATGCCCAGCTAAAAATGTAAATTGCCCTTTCGCGGGAGGATATATGAATATCCTTCTTTCTCTCCCCAACCCCCTTTCCATTCTGCATCGTGGGCAGATCCCAGCTGGACTCTTACATGGCAACAACATGAAGGCATTGTTTACTGCTTGCCAGACTCTGTGGGGATATGTAAAATTCTGCCAGAGCTCAGCATCTCTCAAGGGGTGGGTTCTTCAGGGAAACAAAGTGTTCAGCGCTATATGTCATACCAGCTTTAGGGAGTCAAAAGTACAAAGCTGCCAAAAAATGGAAAAAAGAGTTCTTGAGACTGTAATCCTTCAGCCCAATTCTGAGACCCAGGAAGCTATCAGCATTTTCATATCCTGGGCTGCTTCCACAATGGGCATTTACTGTGGAATAACAGGGCATCTGAACAACGCCATGAACAAAACACTCCATGTTTTTTTCTTCCATTCATCATTGAGGTGGGTAAGTTCTGAGCTCAGAAAACCCAGTGGTTTCTTTTATAAAACACACACACACACAATGGAACAGCTGGATGATTTCCCCAGGTGTAGATGACTTCTTGCGCAGCTATTCTGCCCAGCTGTGGTATAGCTTTTTCCTAAATTGATCTAGCCATTTCAGCTCTTATCTCCACAACCTTTCCCTTTCCAAATTGCATGCCTTTATATCCCTTTCTGTTATCTCCACCCGCCTTTAAAATGCAGTGGGGGAGCAGAATCACACACACACACACACACACACACACGAAACCTGGGAACTGTAGTTTGAGGTTCCTGGGAACTGTAGTTCTCTGAGGGATAAACTACAGCTCCCTGGGCGCATTTTTTTGGGTGAACAATTTAAATGTACTGTATGTATACAGCCATAATCCCCCTGGGAAAGGATTTTGTCCCCCAGTGTCACACCACTATTGCAAGCAGTGGTTTCCTTCCTAGTTTCAGTAGCAGGAAGGCCAGGCTGGTTTCACAAAGTCCTGAATGCAAAAAGGAGGAGGGGGCAGACTGCAGGGGTGAAACTGTGGGTGGCAGGAAGGTTTGGGAGTCCTTGTCACTTTATCCCTGTATATGGTATCCCCGTCTTTCCTTTTTCTTTTACCAAAAGTACACAGAAGTATGATAAACAGAAAAGAAGCGGGGGGAGAAGAAAAACACAGCAGGGAGTTTCTAAATAAATGATAAACTGAGCACAGGTATCATATATGTCCTCCTTTTGCCATTTACCTAAAAAGTTATACAAATTTACAGTTTCTTGTGCTTTATTACGCCGACACATTATGGCTGACCTACATCCCATACTGCTGTTACCAGCTGCAACTGGAAAAGGTACCCACCCTGGAGGACTAGATAATAAAAATATGGGGTATAGTTTAAAATGGCACCACTTTTTTAAAGTGGCACATCCTGCCCCACCACTGTGTTTGAAGAAGCAGGCCTGCCACCAGGATGTAAGGTGTGGTGGATTGGATCAGGCTTCCCCAACCCGGTGCTCTCCAAATGTTTTATCCTGCAACTCCCAACAGCCCCAGACAGCATGTCCAATGGCCAGGGTGTGTGTGTGTGTGTGTGTGTGTGTGTGTGTGTGATGGTCCAAAACATCTGGATGGTTGGAGCAGGATGCTGTTGAAGGATGAGCAAGATGACTCTGCAGAAGGCAACTTCCTATTTTCCTGTCTGGTTCCCTTGCCGGACACACTACTGAACGGCTTGGTTTTATTATGCGCTAACACCGGGTTGCTTTTTCTTGGCAGGGGCTGGTGCTGAACAGGCTTGGGCGGAGAAACTTGGCTCAGAAGGTTCTGCAGGACGCAGTCCAGGTACAGAGCACCAGCCACAAAGCCTGGAACAGCCTTGGAGAAGTGCTTCATGCTCAGGGGAAAAACGAAGCAGCTGTGGAGTGCTTCCTGACGGCTCTGGACCTCGAATCCAGCAGCCCCGTCGTGCCATTCACGGTCATCCCCAGGGAACTGTGATGGCGTAGAATTTCTTCCATGCACATGCGTTCCGTGGAGGTAGTTCCAACAGCACACATATCAAATAAGCAATTTGTTTACAGTGCAATAAATATATATATACGTGGCTCCTTTTGTTAACCTAGAATTCAGAAACCTTTACCCAGGGAAGTGGCTCTATTTCAGGGATAATGCATTTTCCCAACATGCAGATTGCAAGATATATTATTGTTGGTGGGGAAATGCGATTATTTTTCTGGCTGCTGGGGCTGCTGCAATTTGCAGTACTGCCTTGAACTTCCCTTCACCCAAAAACACGGGCCATCCAGAATGCATGGCAGTGCAGAGGGCGCTAGTATACTTTCCTGTTCTTTCTTCAGATTGCAAAAATGGAACATTTGATGGCAGATTGGGGAGTGGGGAGTGTATGTCACACGCCTGGCAGGTCACAGTTTCCTTGGCTGAATCAGCTTGGTGGGTTTTGCAAGCCTAACATAATGCAGTTCTGCGCATATTGTTGGCAACTATTGGATAGTGTCTGTGACATTGCTGATGAGCAATACAAGGCCTTTCCCAAGTCTGCATCATGCTGTCACCTTTACACCACCCCTAAGCAAGAAAAATTGCATGAGCTGTAAAACTAACTAGTATGAAGACTCGGGGTTTGTGTGGGTGGGGGAACCTTGCCAGTTCACTCTTAGCATAAGACTTCTGGGTTGCAAATCCTGGAGTTTTCCCAACCTGACTGATACCTCCTCCTTGTGCATGGATGGATGCTGGTGTTTTCACTACATAAGCCAGAGATGGCCTGGTGGACCAAATCTTTTATCTCCTACCACCCCGCCAGCCAACTTTGACAGCTGGGCGGGGCCACCCACTTGTCAATCACCTGATGTCACAATGGCGTTCGCCTGACAAGTGGGCAGTCCTGCCGCCTGTCAAAGTTGACCTGCAGGGTGAGAGGAGGGGTCTGCTTCACTGGCGTTTTTCCCCAGAGGGAACATTATGGAGAAGCAGCACCCAGCAGGATTGAACCCCGGGAATGTCACCAATTGACATATAGGTGTGGTTTGGTGGGGGAAATGGCCTCGGAGGGAGAAATGGACCCCTCCCTACCACGCTGGTGGGACAAGATCAGCCAAGCCTCCGTAGGTTTCTCATTCCTGATACAAACAATGGCCCCCACCTCTGAACATTGGGAATAGAGGGGGTGATAGTTTCAGTAATGTTTAGGACTGCGGCCTTGTTCGTGGCTTTGCTCCTCTCGCTTTAATAGCAATTTTCCTGATACACTAAAATGGGAAGCCTTTCCCCATCAACAGCACCCTGAAAGGAAGGGCTTCCTCTTCTCTTTATGTTTGTCAGACTGTAGTTTACATGACCTGGCCATATTCCTGCATTGAGGAGGATTGGTCTAAACAACCTTCCAGCTCTACAATTCTAGGATTCTATATGGCCCTGCTCCACAGCACCAGCTGCCTTTCTTCCAGATATCCCTAAACAAATGGACTAGGCCCAAGCACGGCTTTTATTTTCCAAGGGTGTCTGATGGATTGTGAAGAGGCCTGTTTTAAAAAGTAGGACACGGAGGGGGCACTATACCCCAAGTGCCCATCTCCCCCTCAAAACCAAGATTTGTTCCGTTCTGAATGTGTGCAATTTTCTGAAGGAATTTATCACATTGTGCAGGTACACAGAACCAAAGAGTTGGAAGGCCGCTTAATCCAACCTCCCTGTGCTCAATGGAGGAGGTTGTAACTACTGCAACACCCCTGATGGATGGCCATCCAGCCTTTGCTTAAACACCGACAGCGAAGGAGAGCCCATCACCTCCTGAGGCAGAATCTGTTCTACGCTCAAACAGCTCATAAGAACATAAGACGAGCCTGTTGGATCAGGCCAGTGGCCCACCTAGTCCAGCATCTCGTTCTATTACTGTAAGGAAAGGTTCTTCCACCATTCAGCTGACTTTCCCATTCATTTGTTCTTCCCTCCGGAGGAACAGAGAAGTCTGCTCCATCCTTCAGTAGCAGTCCTTTAATTATTTGGAGGCAGCTATTGTCATGTCTCCCTTTAACCTTGTTTTCTCTAAACATACCCAGCTCTTTCCATCGTTGCTCACAGAACTTAAGTTTCCAAAACCAATTGTCATCCTAGGTTAGAAGTGTTCCGGTTTGTCAATCTCTTCCTTAAAATATGGCGCCCGGAACTCCCTCAGCTTTTCAACAAAGCCTCCAGATTGAGGTTACGCAAAGATATACACACATAGGAAGAGAAATAAAACGGGTCTGCTTTGGCTGCTTACTCTGAAAGAAGCCCATAGGCCTTAATAGGGTTACTCAAGGGACTGTGCTGTCAAAGCACACAGACATTAGGCGCCTCTGTGCTAATGGCATTGAGCCGCAAGACTGAATTTTGGATATCAAAACTAAGGGCCTTCGTCAGTTCACGTTTTCCCTGTTGTTAATATTTGATTCTGTTTTAGGTATTCGTTGCAAGGAAAAATACCTGATCGTATAATTTGACCGAGCTTTGTTTTTTAGTGATTATATATTATATATTATATACTTTAGATAACATTTATGTTTTTAGGATAGGTAGGTAGAATATATATGTCTGTGTTTTACTTTGATGCTGTACATCATAGGACTGTTATCCATCCATCTCTTTATGTGGCATTAGACAGCCATAATTAAGCACTTTGGTAATCTTTTGGCTTCACTGGGAGACTTAAGCATGGGGCTAAGTCCCTTCATTGAAATCAAAACTGTCAAAACATACTGCATCATACCCCTAGGTGGTGGTGGTGGTTTTAATGAGCGTATAAAGTGTTAAATATGTTTACTCATGGAAGTTTCTGCCTAGGGTTCTATATCTGCATTGTTGCCTTAAATCAGGGATGGGGAACCTGTGATCCTCTAGATCAGGTATAGGCAACCTTCAGCCCTCCAGATGTTTTGGCCTACAACTCCCATGATCCCTAGCTAACAGGACCAGTGGTCAGGGGTGATGGGAGTTGTAGTCCAAAAACATCTGGAGGGCCGAAGGTTGCCTATACCTGCTCTAGATGTTGTCATCCAAGAGCATTGTCCATGCCAGTTGGTGCTGATGAGAGTCCCTGCCTTAAATTATTGCACCACGGCCTAGCAGAGGGAGAAGATGCAGCAGGCAGAAAAGGCGACATTGGCCAGAAAGAGCACTGTTGCAACTAGGCTGGAGGCAGCTCCATTTGGCAGAGCTCTAAAACCTCAGCAGGGCCTTTCATCCAGTCCAGTAATGATGATGATGATGATGATGATAATAATAATAATGATGCGGGTGGCGCTGTGGGTTAAACCACAGAGCCTAGGACTTGCCGATCAGAAGGTCGGCAGTTTGAATCCCCGCAACAGGGTGAGCTCCCTTTTCTCGGTCTCTGCTCCTGCCAACCTAGCAGTTCGAAAGCACGTCAAAGTGCAAGTAGATAAATAGGTACCGCTCTGGCGGGAAGGTAAACGGCGTTTCCGTGCGCTGCTCTGGTTCGCCAGAAGCGGCTTAGTCATGCTGGCCACATGACCAGGAAGCTGTACACCGGCTCCCTTGGCCAATAAAGCGAGATGAGCGCCGCAACCCCAGGGTCGGCCACGACTGGACCTAATGGTCCTTTACCTAATTATTATTATTATTATTATTATTGTTGTTGTTGTTGTTGTTGTTGTTATTTTATATCCCGCCCTTCCCAGCTGAAGCCGGGCTCAGAGTGGCTAACAACAGTAAAAATATCACAGTTTACATAAAATCACAATCAATTAATTGAAATACATTCTAAAATCAATTCATTCTAAAATCAATTCAGAGTCAAATGAATGGCAACCATTGGGTCAGAGTTCTATGAGGAGTACAGAAGGAGGGGGTCAGGCTGTGCCTTGGCCAAAGGCCTGGTGGAACAGCTCTGCCTTGCAGGCCCTGCGGAAAGATGTCAAGTCCCGCAGGGCCCTAGTAGACATGGCAGGGCACAAAGAGGGGCAAGAGACAGCGGCGCATTTCTTACAATGTTGAGTGGCGTCCTAAGAACACTTCATGTACATGCAGTAGCTGGGCTACTAAAGTCAAGTGAGCATCGCTGAGGAGTAACATAGATGTTCAGCTGCTGTCAGGGAGGGATGTTTGTCAGCAATGGGGAGCTGGTGCGACACATTGAGGGCAAAACGAAAAATCTCCCACAACATTCTGTGAACCCACTGCAGGGTGTTACAATAACCCATGTAGTCCAGCAACATCGAAAGCAGGGTTTCCCAAACTGGGGTCTCCAGCTGTTTTTGGACTACAAGTCCCATCATCCCTAGCTAGCAGGACCACTGTTCAGGGATGATGGGAATTGTAGTCCAAAAACAGCGGGAGACCCAGGTTTTTGGGAAACCATGATCTAGAGCAAGGATAGCTAACACTGGGCCTGGAAGGCCAGATGCATTACCCCAAGCAAGTTTTTTTTCTCCCCACCCTCTCCAACACCCAATAGAATTTGGTGGAAGCTAAAATATATTTTTTAATGTAGACACAGTGATGGGGGCAGCAGAAGGGCTTAAGCCTTTCCACCCAGACCAGTGCCCAGATGGCATTGGCGGTGGCGACTGCCCCTCCCTGGGCATCAGATCAATCGCCACGTGCCTCAGCTGATTTGCATGGATCACCCAAGGAGGGGAGCTGTGTACCTCTTGTGCGTGAGCATGCGCACAAGAGAGAGCGCATGCATGCAAGACCGTGGGGTGACACTCACTTTTGCCACACTCATCATTGGCATGCGTCCCCCAGGAGATTAGCCGAGGGGAAATGTGTCCCTCTGGCCAAAAGGTTAGCTACCCCCAGTCTAAAGAATGGCAGGTTCCCCAGCCCTGATCTAGAAAAACTGACTACTGCGATATTGTGCTCTAGGAAGTACTGGACCAAATCTCGAGGCACCTCTGTGCAAACAAGAAACAAGTGTTACTGACTCCTTGCAACCGATGAGCATACCCTTTTGTCACCAAAAACTTGCATTGATATACGCATAATCCTTCACCCTATGATGTTGAAGCAGCAATTTCATGCAATATATGTTGTTTGTGGCACAGATGGAGAAAAACATATTATTCCATGTAAATGGTTGTGTTGGCTCTTGATGTTTGCTCTTCCCAGCTCAGGAATCAGAGAGAGGAAACAGGCCTTCAGGGAACTACTATGCTGGTATTCCAGTGGCCTTGCCAGTCGCTTTTGATCGTTTTGTTGCAATTCACTCACCTAAGCAAGTGCTTTTCCCCCCAAAGGCCTTTTGCATTAAACAGTGAAAGAGGATGTGTGCACTTTCAAAGTCCTGTTGCACTATTATCAAAGTTTACACACTCCCACTAGCAGATTGAGTTAAAAAATAAAATAAAAAGGGAGAGCGCCCCTTAACTACTTCACGTCTCTCATTCTCAGGGACTAACATCACCTCAGTAGCCTAGACTAGGCTTTGCAGCCCAAGCGTTAGAAAACGAGGCCACTTTAAGGCCTGTTTTATGCTGTGTACGTTAATCATAGTGTAATCATGAAAGTGATGAAGCATCACTGCATATGGTAGTTCAGTGGCATAGCGCCTGCTTTGATTGCACAGCCGAATCTCTGACCCCCAGCAACCTGCCAAAAGGCCCCCTTTTCATTTTTGCACCCCATATTCTGGAGGCGAAAATTGGCATTTCAGTGGGGTGGCAATGTGGAGGGAAGCCCTTGCCTTCGCCAGGCAGCACGCTCATAAATTATGCCACGTGCTCATGTAGTATCATTCCTGGAGTTGGGGAGTGGCAAGCAGCCTTGGAATAATGCTTTATGGACCAGGACTTCAGCAAACCTGCATAACCCTGCATTCAGTGCTGCAGAAATCTCAAATGTCACCTTTGTATCCGAGAGTCTCTAAGAGGTGTTACCCACGTACTCCGGAGCAAACCAAATATTTCTCCTATTATATTCCAGTGACTGCTGCTATTTACTAGATTTGCTCATTGTCCTTCTACAGGAAAAATACTATACCTAAAAGGCACGATCAAGCAAAATCTAGTTGCATTTAAATCCCATTGAAAGCAATGAAACTACTACTATTCATGACAAACACAAATCCTGTTGATGTACACTATGTAGGTTTTATTTGAGACTCACTTTTGTTGGGTTACATCTTTTTCCGGAACGGGGTTTAGTTTAGGAGCCTTTGACTGATGTTCATCAGCCATATGGGGGACTAAAGTTCATCCAGTTTCCCCAACGGCTTCAGAATATTCCAAACAAAACTACCGTTTCCCCCTCTTGCAGCCAGCCACCATTCTAAAATGTAGCATCCTCAAGGAAGCCGCACATAATATCTGGTTTTATTTGCAAACTAGTTTGTGATGCTGCTGAGATTTGATATGCCTTTTCGTATGAAATGTGATAGCATTGAGTTTCAAATGACTCTCACTAGATGAATAAACAAATTCCATGGAGAAAGATGTGTTGTGTTGTGTGTGCAGTCATTTCCTGCTGCTTGTCGTTCTTTGCAATTCATGCTTGCTGCAAATATCACAAGCTTTCGGGAATCCAATCCTGAGAAAAGCCTCCAGTGAACTCCTGGTTGCAAAAGACAATTTAACACATGTCCAGCAATTCATGTGCAATGGAATCGTGAATCTTCAAGGTGGTTTGAGACAGGTGTTGTCTCACAGTGTCCATGACTCAATGCTGAAATTGGATCAGCCCAATTTGCCAATTCAAGTCACATCATCTAATTCCCCCTGGCCCTGACCTGATGGGAAAGTGGTGAGAGTTTGACAGGATGTGCTAAATAGAAATAAACTACATGACCTAAGCAGAGCTAAAGCAGACTACAATTCACAGGGAGTGATTGTACAAACTCTCCCTCAGGGATTATCCTAATCTGTGTTAGTCCAAAGGGATTATCCTAATCCAGGTTAGAGATGGTGAGAACTAGCCCTGAGCCAAAAATGGCAACTTGGTTCCAAGGCCCACAAAAGAAGAGATGGATTTTCAGCTGGTGGGGACTGCCATCTGCGCCACCCCACCCCACCCCAAAGCCACTGGGTGCACCATTACTGAAACAGAGGCATTGTGGGAGATCATAGGAAGCTGCTTGGTGCAGCTCAGACCACCAGTCATTCCAGCTCAATGCTAAACACTGATGAGCAGCTGTTTTCTGGGGTTTCAGGTGAGTATAGTTCAGGCCTACCTGGAGATGCTGGGGATTGAACGTGGAACCTCCTGAATTCAAACACATTCTGCAGACCTTCTTTATGTAGACAAGACCCACAAGGCCAAAGTTTACTGCTCCGTCATCACCTGAGGCGGTGGATCAATGTTGTTTTAAAAGCTAGGGTGGGTAGCAGCCTTGTCTGCCCCTCCAGGACGTGAAAAAGCCAAGGATTTCTGTGTCTCCTCCAGTGCCAGAAAGGAAGGCTGTTGTTTTTTTTAAGACCCCAAGCCCTCATTTCCAGCAAAGGTGTGTGTTTTGAAAGATCTGCCTCAGACAAAAAGACAAAAGAATTACAGGATGCTAAGGAGACGTAGGTGGCTATAGGACACGGGTAGCGCTGTGGGTTAAACCACAGAGCCTAGGGCTTGCAGATCAGAAGGTTGGCGGTTTGAATCCCCACAACGGGGTGAGCTCCTGTTGCTCGGTCCCAGCTCCTGCCCACCTAGCAGTTCAAAAGCACGTCAAAGTGCAAGTAGATAAATAGGTACCGCTCCAGTGGGAAGGTAGACAGTGTTTCCGTGTGCTGCTCTGGTTCACCAGAAGCGGTTTAGTCATGCTGGCCACATGACCCGGAAGCTGTACGCCGGCTCCCTCGGCCAATAAAGCGAGATGAGCGCCGCAACCCCAGAGTCGTACGCGACTGGACTTAACTGTCAGGGGTCCCTTTACATTTACCTTTAAGGAGACGTGTTCACATTTGAACAGAATGGCCTGCGACTTTTCCTTGCGGTTCAAACAAACCTCTTTTTTCTTCTCAAAGCAGTTTGCAAAGAGATATACAGCAAAATAAAATGATAATGTAATACAACAACCAGCTGAAACAACCTTTCCGTTTCAGAATGCTATGGAAACCCTGCGCAAGAGCAGTTTGCCGCTTTGAGGAGTACGAGTGCTGCCATCTTTAGAAGCGCTTGGAAACAGGTGCTTAGAAATTTGTCCTGTTCCCATCCCTGCCTGCACTCCGTCGTCATATGAGAGGCGAAACTGCAGCTGCCTTCACAATGACGTGTATTTATTTCAGGGGAAATGTGAGTTCAAGGGGTTAAGGGCAGTCTGGCCATTGTGGGTCAGAGGTAGCTGGCTGATCAGCCTACAAGTCATTGTCTGGCTGAGGTAATTAGCAAATGAATGTTGCCTCCGAAGAGGATCCAAGGCTGCAAATCCCCTTGTCCTGGGCTGACAACATAAACACTGCCTTAGATTACAAGATTCGGTTTCCAGAGCAGAAACCTGCTCAAACCAGACCGCTAGGAATTCATTATCCGTGTGAAAGGATAATAACTTGCTCCAAGGATAACCTCCAAGAAAAAGAGATGGAGTTTTTTTTTCAAAAGGAGAAAAGAACACCACAACTTTACCACAAGGCATGATTCACCTTCTAGAGCAGAGTGGAGAACCTGAGCCACGGGGGCCAAAGGCAGCCCTCGAATTCTCCATCTGGCCCTCAGGACTCTCCTCACACCACAGCCCAGGTCACAAGTCTCACCTGCCCTGCTTCACACCCTTGGAGTGTTTTTCAGTGGTTGGACTAGGACTTTGAACTCAGATCATGCCTTTTGCATTCCCCGATGGATTGGGGAGATATATTTTGCAGGGTTGCTGCTGCTCTTCTTTTACTGTACATTTCAGCAGTTCAAACCCTTTTGAATTGCTCCTGAGAAACCTTAACTTCCTGTAACCTCCAGCCATGAGCAAAAATGTTTACACAGCCTGGATGTGACTCGTGTTGATCCAGGACTATACCCCATGAGCAGCTTCTAAACAGCTGCTTCCTTTTCTTTCTTCCTTTTTTATTTTTTAAAATTGTTTATTTAGCTTTTCAATTAAGTACTGAACTGACAAAGCAGATAATGGAGGCAAAAATGATCGCATAAACCATGGGTAGGCAAACTAAGGCCCGGGGGCTGGATCTGTCCCAATCGGCTTCTAAATCCGGCCCGTGGAGGGTCCAGAAATCAGCAGGTTTTTACATGAGTAGAATGTGTCCTTTTATTTAAAATGCATCTCTGGGTTATTTGTGGGGCATAGGAATCCGTTCATTATTTTCTTTCAAAATATAGTCCGGCCCCCCACAAGATCTGAAGGACAGTGGACCGGCCCCCTGCTGAAAAAGTTTGCTGACCCCTGGTATAAACCAACATAAACATTTCTTTTGTGGGTGGCAACAAGGAAGAAAACAAAAGTGGCTATCATAGGAGAAAAGTCTGTTACACAGAACATACCAGATCAAAATATCTCTCTCTTTCATATTTATCAAAATGCATATGGATGATCTCATTGATGGAAGGTATTCCCTCTTGCTAATTGCATTATTAGTATTCAAGAAGAATCAGCAAATCATGTATTAATTCTCTTATCTGGTGTATGTAGTGAAATAATATCTACTGATTACTTCAAAGCAGAAATACACTTGCGGGCAAAGAAGATTGAAAGCAGATTTTGACGGGAAATAAGAAGTTTGGATTGTTCCTGACTTTTCAAACGTGTCTTTTGTAAATAATGTAACTGGATCTGTTGCACCTTCTAGGTAACTGCACACAATTCTCGAACTGACATTCATTTGCCAAAACCATTGATTGACCTCGGTGAAAATTGGCACTGGTCAGTAGCAAATATCACTCGCCCTCCTATTCTGTCAGACCTCATTCCCATATAACTGGAGGCCAACGCAGGGTTTTCCCCCAGCCAGATCTCAGTTCTGGCACCTCTCAGGTGCACACCATTGCCATTCTAAG